TCCTCAAGCCCTTCTTGCCCCAACTCCAGCGCACATTCGCGAAGTCGCTTGCCGATACATCGTCCGATGTGTTGCGAGCGCGAGCAGCCAAGGCTCTTGGTACATTGATCAAGCTTACACCAAGGGTGGACCCACTCATCGCTGAGTTGGTGACTGGATCCAAGACAAGCGACGAAAATGTCAGAACGGCTATGCTGAAGGCCTTGTTTGAGGTCGTAAGCAAGGCAGGCAAGAACATGAGCGAAGCAAGCAGGAACGCCATCCTAAGTCTCATCGACAACGAGAGCGATGATTCTAATGGTAAGTTTAGACTGATTCTGATCCTGCCTAGTGTGACTAACATGGGGTAGATGCAATGGCGATTACAAACGCTCGACTTCTGGGAGCCCTGATCAGCTGCCTTCCCGAGGATGTCGCGTCCAGTCTTCTCAAGGCTCGCGTGCTTACGACACACTTCAACAAATCTTCTGTACTGGCGCTCAACGCCATTCTGCTAGATGCTCCCGAGGCTCTGACAGAATCGTTTGCAGACGAGACAGTGAATGTTATATGCCAGGGTGTTGGACATTCGCAACCGTTCATCTCGGATAATTCGATCCTCGCCGCTGGCAAATACCTTCTATCGGAGAAGAGCAGCAAGAGTTTCGACCACACGAAGCCAATTTTCGAGGCTCTTGCGCCAGTAGTCGAGCCCGGCCATCCCGTCGACACGAGGCGGTTAGCGCTTGTGGTGCTTCGTACAGTTGCTCGAGAGCACAACGAATTGATCCGTCCGCACATCCCGCTCCTCATACCGGTGGTCTTCGCATCGGTGCGCGATCCGGTGATCCCAGTCAAGCTGTCGGCTGAAGCGGCGTTCCTTGCCATCTTCTCGGTGGTGGACGAAGAGACGGCCGTGTTCGACAAGTACATGGCCGGACCAGGCAAGAGCCTGTCTGCTGGTCAACAACGCAGCATGGGCGACTATTTCAAGAGGGTTGCCATGAGGCTGGCTGGGCAAGCCAGAGAAAGGAAGGAGGCCGAAGGTGGCGCAGGAGGCCTCGGCTTGTCGAGCGACGAGATGGAAGATGAGCGAGAGATTTGGAGCGTAGGAAAAGTGGAGTTGGGGGATGTGTTTGGTGAAAACTAGCAATGCGGTACAATGGCTGGGACGGTGTACATGGCATAAAAGCGACTGCACTAGCATTGGGACGGGAGCGTATGTGAAAACGAATCATGTTAGTATATAAGTGCATAGCGAATGGAAGTTACATTGAATGTTCTGGGACCGAAAGGAAGGGTGCATGTGGTGGAGGTTTCATGGGGCTCGTGGAAGTTGTTAGGTAGGCTGCCCCAGCATCAACTCCGCAAACCCCTGAGCTCTGACCTCACGCTCTCCACGACTGCATGCTTGTCCATCAGCGTAGGCCCCGCACAACGCCTGCCAAACTTGCCCGTCATCGGGGCCCATCATTGCATACGCGTGCGACCCCGCTGGCACTCTCGAAGCGTCGCGCAGACCCCGGCGTCGCTCTCCCGCCGCCCTCAGCCTTCTCCACAGCCCGCACGCGCATCTGTCCAACGCGCGACCACCTCGCAACGCGCACATCACGACGCATTGAGCGCCACCACGGCGCGCTCCCACCGCCATCATGGCAGGCACCATACGGCCCAATGACATGAATGTCTCCACCACGCCGACGCTTTCGTCGGGCACCCTGCCCAGCCTCACATCTCTCCAGACGGACCTCACCAAGAAGCCCAACGCGCCGCGCGCCCCCCGTGTAGACGTTGAGCCCCTGTATGCCGCAGTCAAAGGCTCCATAAGCGACGCAGACTGGACCATCTACAAGAAAGCCCTCTCCTTCTTTCTGCTCGGCAACCTCAACCAGGAGGAGCTGTCCCACAAGCTATCCAAGATCCTCACCACGCCCGCCCTCGAACACGCGCACAATGCGCTCTTCACGGCTATCTACGCTAACATCTGGCGCGACCCGCCCGAAGCAGGCATCGCCAGTTGGGTGTCGAGTAGCGATAAGCCGACTAGCGGGACGGTCAAGGGGACAGGGGACGAGAGCGAGAAGAGACTCAAGCACGAGGTCATGCAATTGAGTCGGAGGGAGAGAAAGAGGCTGAAGGGTATACCGGCAGGTGAGAGCCCGCTGAGTACGGGGCTCGAGGGCTTGGGCGCGGGTGCTGCTGGGCCGGTGCAGGAGTATGTTGATGCGAGACGGGCGAAGCAGCTCGATGTTGGGCCGAGCAGCAACCAGGGCGGTGGATTTGGAAAGACGAGTACGTGCATGGCATTTGCTATACCCCTCCTTTATGTCTTGAGATGCTAACAGCTTGGTCTCAGACTGGGAACTCGAGATTCGGAAACGGTATACCTCGGCCCTCTACGCCGAGACGCACGAATTCCCCACTGCAACGACGATATCCTACCGCCTCCTACCAATATGCTACGAGTTCGGACTGCCTCAAGGCCATACGTCCGATTGCCCAGACTACCTCAACATCGCTACCGAGACATACATAAAAGAAGCCCTGGCAAACTTACTAGGCAAAGTAAGCAGCAACGGCCCTGGATACGTGCGCACAGGCGAGTTCAAGAAGAAGCTCGCGCGAGAGGAAAGACTAGTAGACCGCGGCGAGCTGGCCCGCGGCATCGGAGGCGAACTCCCCGTCGAAGCAGAAGAGCGACGAAAGAGGAAACTCCTGTGCATGGAGGACCTGAGACTCGCGCTGGAACTCGGAGACTCGTACCTCGGACAAACACCACTGATTGCGGGATCGATAATGAACTCGAGGTTTCTGGATACGCACGGCATCGAGGACATTTACAATGCGCCCGCGAAACCGCTTACGAATGGTGCGATCACAAACGGTATCAATGGTATAGCAAATGGGACTAAGCACGACCTCAACGGCGAGACTTGGACGATTGACTTTGGTGATCCGATGCAGATTGATGATGAAGTGGGTATGCATTGGCAAGGAGGTAGTGTTCAGGATATGCAGGAGATGGATGATGCGCTTGACGATATTCTGAACCTCGGCGATCTATAGGAAGGTCTAAAAGTTGACTCTGGCGACCCGGTGCAGATCGACGATGAAGTGGGCATGCATTGGCAGGGAGATAACGTACAAGACATGCAGGAGATGGACTACGCGCTTGACGATGTTCTGAACCTCGGCGATCTGTCGGAAGGTCATGGACGTGGCGACCCAACGGAGATTGACGATGGAGTGGGCGTACACTGGCAAGGAGACAGCGTTCAAGACGGGCAAGAGATGGACGATGCGCTTGACGATATTCTGAACCTCGGCAATCTGTAGAAGGGTCATGAAAGCGAATGATAGAGGGAAGGAGCATGGAGGCGTTTGTGAGCTTCGGCATTTGGGCGGCGCATGTGGGATTTGCATTTCGGTGTCTGGGTGTAGCTATGGGATGATACCCTGTCTTTTGCTTGTTGTCTCGTTGAGTTGGTGGTCGGCATTATGACTCGCGATGTATCTCGCTGAGCATTGTTACTTTTGTAGGGAATGGAGAACAGATATATCTCAGTGTCGAGCGCATGTTGCATGAAACGTCATTTCATTGCATGATAGCCCGGCAATCCCATACCATAACCCTCTCGTCCCACCCCGTACTAGCACACCAGCCCTCCGCGCCAAACAAACACCAATCAACACCTGTCACAAACTCGGTATGCCTCCCCATCCTCCCCATCTCTCTACCCCCACCATAAAACATAGGATCCTCCAGCATATTCTCCTGCTTCACACTCCCCACACCCATAGCACTCCCATCCGTCCACACCCGACACGTCATATCGTAACTCGCACTAAGCAATATATCGCTCAAATGCGGACTCCAAGTCAGCTTCCGAACCGCATACTCGTGTCCCGGCAACACAGCAACAGGTCCCTGCTGCGGCATCCTAATATCAAATGTGCGTATCACGCGATCCACCCCTGCGGTCGCAACGATAGTATCCCTATATTTATTCCAATCATGCGTCAACGCCTCCGCAGGCGCAACACCCACGCCCGGCGCATGTCCCATCCTCGCCTTGGGCGGCTGATGAATCGGCACACTCATCGTCAAATGATTACTCGCACTCGCCGGCGTCCTCAGATCGAAAACCCTCAAATGGCTATCACTACTCACACTTGACAGCACACTCGGACTGTGCGGACTGAAACTCGCACTGTAGGTACATGAATGCGTCGGCAGCGTGGTTATACTCGCATCTGAGTTTGGGTTCCAGATCTTGATTGTGCCGTCCCAGGACGAGGATAGGAAAGTGTCTTTGGACACGAGGTTCCAGTGGACGGCGAAGACTTCGCGCGCGTGCTCTTGCCAGGATGCGATGGGGAAGTTGGGCACGTTTATGTCGAAGAGTTTTACCGAGCCGTCGCCGCCGGCGGTGAGGAGTTGGGACTCGTGCGCTTCGGACCAGGTGCTGTCGAAGAGGGAGTCTTGCGTGTCGAACCTGGGGACACGCGTGGGTTAGCATGTGATAGTAAAGTGGAAGATGGAAAAGGGGTGGTAGAAGTACCATTTCTCGGCTACGATTCCATTCGCTGTAAGGCCTAATATGTACAGGCGTCCGTTTCCGACGAGCCCGAAGTTGGCGGATGTTGCGACGGCGATGCGCGAGTCGAAGAAGGGGCTGTATTTGACCGAGTAGCCGTTGAAGCCTTGGGTGCGGAACTCGAGCATGGTGTGTGGTCAAGGTGGGAGTGGGATTTGGGATTACGGCGCGTGGAGGATAGGTATGGTACGGCGCGTCATGTCGCGCCGGGACGTGGAGTTGGTGTTGTGCTGCAGCATGGTTGCGGATGACGAGGTGTCGATTGACCGAGGCGCCTTTGGGTTCTGGCGGGGCTGCTGTGGCGCCGTCGGTTGGGTTGTCCCGTGACAGCGCGTCTGCTGTTACGCCAGTCGCCACTGTCGAGGAGGCCATTTCACTTTGTTGATTCGACTATGCGCGCCATTTCAACCCACCACAGTCGGTATGGACGCGTTCGTGTCGCGCAAGAGGAAGTGGGATGAGGGGCCGCCCAGGTCCGTGGCGAGTACAGGCACGCGGCCTTCAGAGGCTAAAGACCCAGAAGAAGAGTCTACCGATTTCAAGTTGGCCTTGTTGGCATCTCTACATCCTACAGTTGATGAAGGGACTCTACTTGAAGCATTGCTCGCTGCTGAGGGGGGCGTTGAACAAGCCTCGGAGTGTCTATCCCGGCCTCGAGTTACTTCCCCAAGAAAGCGACCCGCATCATCGACAGTGGGCTATCAATCGTCACTGAGCTCGTATCGCATTGCTCCCGCCAACGGCACGTTGACCAAGAAGCCACTCGTGAAAAAGGGCAAGACACTATCTCTCTACAGCCCAGAAGACATCGAAGCACATACGCCTTGTTCAATCATACATAATTTCCTTCCGGTAGAGCAAGCGGATGCACTGCTGTCACAACTACTGGACGCCTCGTCAACCTACGACAGGTACGAGTTCAAGCTTTTCGACAGAGTTGTTGTAAGCCCACACACGTACTCCTTCTACGTCAACAGCTTAGAAGAGGCGGAACGACAAAAGACGGAATACATCTACAACGGTGGCCAAATCGAGGTAAGACCGCTGACAAGAAACACCACCAAGATGCTAATTCCATCCAGAATGTCCGACAAAGCCTACCAGAAATGCTCAACGCATGCCCCCAAGTCGAAGACGCCGTCAACCGCGAAATCCAACGCAGAATCCGCGACTTCTACCCCAACGGCAAGAAACTCAGATACCAATCCCCTCACCCCTGGAAAGCCAACACCGCCTTCGTCAACTGCTACGACGGACCGCAAGAAAGCGTCGGATACCACGCCGACCAACTCACCTACCTCGGTCCACGAGCCGTCATCGGCAGTCTAAGCCTCGGCGTAGCGCGCGAATTCCGGGTCCGCAAGACCGTCGCCGAAGACGACTCGCACCGAAAAGACGACGGTTCTCTCGCGGACGCACAAGGCCAAATCAGCATTCATTTACCACACAACTCGCTCCTAGTTATGCATGCTGAGATGCAAGAAGAATGGAAACACTCGATTGCGCCGGCCCAAGCTATCGATCCTCATCCGCTTGCGAAGAACAAGCGTCTTAATATTACGTATCGGTTCTACAAGGATAGCCTCCATCCGAGGTTTACGCCGAAATGCAAGTGTGGCGTTCCGACTGTGTTGAGGTGTGCGACGAGGAAGAAGGAATCGAGGGGGCGGTATATGTGGATGTGCCATGCTGGTTATGTGCCGGGTCGGGAGAGTTGTAGTTTTTTTCAGTGGGCGGAGTTTGATGAGGATGGAGAGCCGCCGTGGGCGGAGAAAGTTAAGATGGAAGAGGGGAGTTTGAATGAGCAGACGGTGATTGATAGTGGTGTGTCAGCATATGCTTCTTGAACCGACGGTAGCACTTTCTGTTCGTTCACTGGATACGAGGATTATTTATGGCTAGACCCGGATCGTAAGGCGCGACTCTCGACGACGACGCAAGCGCAGCTGTAGTCCGCATCTTACCTCGCTTGTCATCACAAACAGACCCAAACCTTTAACGTCGAGGTGCAACGACCTCCATTGTCAGGCACTCATATTGTTCCGAACAGTACATTGTCCTCGGCAAGCTTTACTACGAGCACCCATATTGCTATACACAGCACATTGTCGTCAGCACGCCTCATCGCAGCCTTACATCCCAGAAGTCACCCAAACCTACTCTACCGTCTTACCTCACGACCATGCCACCTCTCTTCCCCCACCAAGCGGTCATGTTCACGCCATCGAAGTCCATGCCGCCCCCCAACGAAGTACTCGACAGTATCCTCACAGGCTATCTCTGGGGTTGTCTTCTGATAACTCTGTTCCTCTTCACGTACTTCGCCATTAGCTTCTGCGCCTGGGTGCTCTCGGCAGTTTTGGCTTCGATCGACACGGTTGTTGACTTCGTACGGATGTACTGCGACTTTTCGGATGCTAGTACCGATGTCGAGATGATGGCTCCTATCTGGCTGGAGAAGTACACGGCTGAGAGCCCGGGGCAGCTCAACAGACCGGATGAGATCACCAGGCTCAAATGCACATTACACGAATACGACACCGCCCTCCAAGACGCACACTCAGCTGACGAAACAGCCATACCACACCTGTCCAACACCCTGACGAACTTCCCCAACCTCCCCGAAAAGTCCCCTACACCCCCGGCGCTTTCTTAACATACTCGTCCAACCAACCCACCGCCTGCAAAAAAGCCTGTTCCTTCGCAAACCTCGCCTTCGCATGCGACAAATCCCCTTTAACACCAGACCCATGCTCGACATCCGAATACAGGAACATCTGGTACGGAACGGTGTGGCCTTTGAGGATATCTTCTGTCTCGCGCCGCTTCTCAGCTGGAAAGATGGAATCGGTTTCTAGAGTTGTTGTTGGTATCGTTAGTGTGTTCTTCTTGTTTACGTCTTTGTCTCGACAGTTTGGTTTTTTGGAGTAGGTGGGATGATTGAAATGAATGGAAGGAATGTAACGCGAATGTTACAATTGAAAGTCATACCTGCAGCAGCAATACTCAACGGACCCCTAATCCCCCTAACTTCCTCCGCATCCACAAAACTAGGATGAGCAGTAAACCCCGCGTCAATCCCCCCATTCCTCAACCCCCCTTCTTTCAAAAACCGACATACGTACTTCCCGCCAAAACAATATCCCACACCACCCAACCTCTTAATCCCCAACTCGTCCCTCAGATACTTAATCACCGTCTCAAACATAGGATCCACAGTCTCAGTCTTCGGCATAACCGTCTCAACATACTCCTGCAAGTCAAACGACTCCGGAGCCGGAAACGGCACTTCGCTCCCGTTGAAGACGTCGGGGATGACGGTTAGATAGCCGTTTTGCGCGAACTGGTCGGCGATGAGTTGGGTGTTGGGGAAGTCCATGCCGAGGACGTCGGTCATGATGAGGATGGCGTTTGAGGGGGAGGGGTTGTTGGGGGGGTAGGTGGTGTATGTGCGGACTGGGGTGTGGGTTAGATGGGAAAGGTCTTGGGATGGGGATGAAGGGAGGTGTACTGTTGTCGATGTGTTTGATTTGGCCTTGTGGTGTGCCTGAGTGCTTTACGCCGATGATGCAGCATCGTTGTATGGGATTGGATGCCATGATGAGATTGGGAGGAATTGTAAGTTGGGAAGACTGGGCGCTATTTTCGATTACTTGTATGTAGTTTCCTGGCCGTGACTCAGAATTTGATGAACGATTTTAGCTATGAGTCTGATACAGCGTCGGGAGTGGGGTGCAGCTCGGGAGCGGTTAATAACAGGGGTTGTTGCGCCCTAGATGTAAACTAGTGATTATTTCCGGATGAGAGCTTCCGAAGTTTTGCTATCATGGACTGCTGTTGAGCTATTAGATGGCTTGTTGTTTTAGGCCTGAAGGGATGATCTTCGAAGTGGGTAGGCTTCAAGAAGTTGGTGCGCAACACGGAACAATTCTTGCCGCAAGCATTGTTGGTTTGTTGAAAGTTAAACGTTCGTAATTACAAAACTTCTATGTATCCCATATGTACATATTCAATTCAAAACCTGAGCGTGTTAGCACGCACGAGCTTGCTCTGTTCCGTGATCACACATACCTCATTTTCTCGTCTGCAGAGATGTGACTCCTCAATGTCTCACGCGGCTGACACTTCGCCTCGTAACCCTTTCGTCCACATAACCACTTCCACGTGGGTCAATGTAGCTGGTCCTTGCTGGCCTGACAATCTCAACGTCGCTAATGCGTCGCCTGGATACACTCCTCGCCCGACTCCTCGCACGGCTCCTTGCACGTATGCGAGGCTCTTCGACGTACTCAATAGCACGGGGACGAGATCGCGATCGCCTGGATGATGTAAGTGTCAGACAACCAATGGTGCCATAAAGTTATTACGAACCTGTACTCGACGTAGCGGCCGTCGTCGCTGAAGCTCTCGACTGAGGTCCGGCGCCATTCGCGCGGCAGACGCATCACGCCGGCTGGTGTATGGGACGTGTAGTTTCCTCGTCGGGGAGGTGGTTCAATGACGGTACGACCGCGCGTTTCGTAAGACCGCATGAGACACATGTTGATGGTGTTTGATGTCTTTGCTCTTCCGCAATGAGAATGATGATGATGATGTTGGGGATGTAGGCTACCGGATGCCGGGTTCCCGGGTGATGACGTTGTGCAGCGAACGACGCGACAGCGAACGAGGGAAGCGAATAGCGTCCAGAATGGGCGATGTGCGAGACAGAGAGTCAATGATGCAGGATGCGGTTGTATATCAGTTCAGTCTTGAAGATATCTCAACGCGACTTGCAACGCGCGGAAATGACGTGCGCCAAGGGTTTGCTGGGGTATTCCAAGGTTGTTTGGTCTGCCAGCCTCTTCAATTCGCAACCAGATATTTCCATGCAGTCAGCGGTGAATTGCAAGCATGCGCATGTGGTTCTGGGATGTATCCTTGATCGAAGGAGCTATTTGCATAGTGATCTCGGCGGTATTTCGTTCTAGACCTGGCGTCGATGATGGAATGCAATGTTGGCTGAAGCATGCAGCAAAGCTGGACTATCAGCAAAAGGAACGCGGATCATGGGTGCTGACATGTAGAGCTGGTACCTGGAGTAACATGTGAAGATGTTCAGTAGCTACCCCCAGGTGAGCTGTCATGAAGGAGCCACCCCCACCTGCCCCGCGACTCGTGGCTGGTCGCTGAAACGTAGGCGGTGACGACGCAGAGGCCACCGCCAACGCTGGCAGCTACAGGCAGACATCCTCTGCAATTGACGTAACCAATTCCCTTTGCTACCTCACTGTCCTTTGAACTGCGCGCACAATGTCTCTAGTATCAGGTATGAGCTCCCAGATAGCTTCTCGCAGCAGCTACTAACCGTAAACAGACGCCATCTGGGCTGCGTCGCCCTCGACAACGCGCGGACAGGCAACACCGCTCTCCTCAGACCCCAAGGGCGAACGCATTGCCTATGCCGTGAGTCTCCCAACTACCCAGAGCTTTCGCGGAGCTAATTGAGTATCCAGTCAGGCAAATCCGTCTTCCTGCGCTCCATCGACGACCCGGCTGTTAGTAAACAATACACCCAACACACGACACAGACGACGGTCGCCCGCTTCTCACCCTCGGGCTTCTACGTCGCTAGTGGAGATGTCTCGGGTACCGTCAAGGTGTGGGACTGCGCAGGTGAAGGAGCTACAAAAGGTGGGTGAGGCATAGCAGGATATAGAGCGAGGGAGCTGACGCGGTGCAGGCGACTACCACATCATCGCAGGCCGCATCAACGACTTGGCGTGGGATGGCGACTCGCAGCGCATCATAGCTGTCGGCGACGGCAAGGAGCGCTTCGGCCACTGCATCACGGCAGACAGCGGCAACAGCGTGGGCGAAATCTCAGGCCACTCGTCACAGATCAACTGCGTGTCTATCCGCCAGCAACGTCCCCTCCGCGCCGCCACGGGCTCCGACGACACCAGCCTGGTCTTCTACCACGGCGCCCCCTTCAAGTTCAACACCAGTCTGCGAGGACAGCACAACCGCTTCGTCTTCGGCACCGCCTTCTCCCCTGACGGTTCCGTATTCGCAAGCGTTGGCGCCGACAAGCGCATATGGCTATACGATGGCAAGACCGGCGAGGCAAAGGGACAGATTGGCGAGGGTGTACATACCGGCAGCATCTTTGGCGTGTCGTGGTCCAAGGACTCGAAGAAGTTCGTCACAGCCAGTGCGGACCAGACGGTCCGGATATGGGACCCGGAAGCAGGCAAAAACATTCAGACCTGGAGGATGGGCGAGGAAGGCGTCGCTAGCATACCCGACCAGCAGGTCGGTGTAGTATGGCCCACGGGTCGCAGTGATGGCCTGATTGTCAGTGTGGACCTCGAAGGAAACCTGAACTACCTCGTCGACGGCAACCCAAAGCCAACGCGCATCATCCGGGGCCACTCCAAGAACATCACATCGGCTGCGATCGCGGGATCTACTTTCGCCACAGGAAGTTATGACGGCCGTGTCCTCGCATGGGACACCACCACTGGATTGGCTGACAAGGTCGAAGGCGCAGCACATTCCAGCTACGTCGCCGGCATCACGACTTCCGACAGCAAGAATGAGGCGGAGTTGTACAGTGTTGGCTGGGACGATACATTACGCTCCATGTCCGTTCCGGACAAGATCTTCACTGGCGAGGCACACGATCTCAAGTTCCAACCCAAGGGCGTTGCCGCGACATCGAGCACCGTGCTGATTCCTTCTACCGATGCCATCGCAGTATACTCCAAGGGGGCCCAGGTCAGCTCGTTACCGGTCAAATTCGCCCCTACCTCAATCGCAGCGCACGGCTCTACCGTTGCTGTTGGCGGAGACGACAAGCTAGTACACATCTACACCCTTTCTGGCACTGAGCTCAAGGAGATCGACACAGTGCTTCGCCGTGCAACAGCTCCCATCTCCGCACTCGCCTTTTCTGCCTCAGGCAAGAAGCTGGCAGTGGGTGCTGGAAACGGCAAGATCTACGCATTTGAGGTAGGCGGAGACTGGAAGGTCATCACGGACAGATGGAGTGCCCATACCGCACGCATTACCTGTCTGGCCTGGGACGAGAGTGAGAACTACGCCGCAAGTGGCAGTCTGGACACCAATGTCATGGTCTGGAGCACAGAAGACCCTGGCAAGCGTATCAAGGCTCTTAACGCTCACAAGGATGGCGTCAATGGAGTCGCATGGGAGAAGGGTCTCAAGGTCATTTCGGCGGGAGGCGATGCGAGCATCAAGGTGTGGAGTGTGAAGGCGTGAGACGTCAACCAATAGTCGAAAGATGAGCAAAAGAAATTAACGATCCATCATGGTGTGGATGACAGGAACTTGATTCAATTCAGTTTGGGGAGTGATGGCTAGGTTTTGAAGGACCTCGATGAAAGGTGAGGCGGTCGCGTGCGCCTGCCCTTTTCTGCTTGCATGTGATTGTGCGGCTACTTCCAAGATACCTCTCACACTAATATTTCATGCCATTCCGTCAGCATTCTCACCTTGCAGATAGTACTCGCATGTCGCAATCAATGTGCCCAATCATAATCATCGCGCTATCGATTGCTGTCGCAGTCTGCATGCAGCCCTCACAGCCAAAAGACCCGCGTAAGCCCCATTTGCCTAGTTTGCCTTGGAATCTGGTATGCCTCAGTGCGAACA